TTATGTAAAAAGTTTTCATTAAGTTTAATAAAGATAAGAGCATGGTCTCACCTTTAACATTAAAAAAAAAAAAAAAGAATTTTATTTTAGTCTTATGGGAGATTCCCTAACTCAATATTATCTTACTGCTATTGAAAACTATCAACAAGCTCATATTAATAGCCCAGCTATTTCTTATATTGTTTTACAAACCCTTACACCTGATTTATCATGTATTGAGTGTTTTTCCCCTAAAACTCCTAGCAGTCACTCAACCTTTCTTCGTTTTTGGCAATGATATTCTTTGGAATATCAAGCTATATCTTATTGTCACAAAACTCAATCTGCTTATAATAAATTAGTTACTGCTTCTCGATCTACTACTTGCTGCACTACTCATGATATTATTTTTAGTTGCCACTATAGCAACAATGTACCTTCACCTTGCCCTGTAGTTTCAATTTTATTTTGAAGCTATACTTCACATGCTTCTATTCCCCAAATTTTTGATAACAGAAATCATTTTGATAATTATATTGATAACCCAACTTTGTTTCTTCTGCCATTCAATTAATTACTACATCTGAAAAATCCCCATATACTATTCCTGCAAAAGCTATTAAAATTGTTGCTAAACCTACTGCTAGTTCTTTTGAAATTAATCAGGAAAAAACTGAGGAAGTTGCAACAGCTTCTACTATTGACACTGCTTCTAATCTTCCTGAAACTATTACTGTTACCCTTGGTGATATAACAGAGGAAATTTCTACTATAATTAATTCTGTCAATCTAGAAGATATAAATAGATCTACTTTTTATACCCCTACCCCAAGTCCTATTACTGTTGTTTCTAATATAGATAATAGTGCTATTAGTGAATTAGTATTACCCCAACCCCATACTTCATCTACCCATCTTGATATTTTAGGAGATATTAATAACACTTTACCTATAAACACTGCTATTGAAGACCCTTGGTATAACCCTCAAATAGAAGAAAATCATACTACATATACTTCATTATATCTACCAACTGAAGAATACATTGTTGAGGAAGATAGTATCCCTTATATTCCAATATACCCATCAATTAAAGAAACAACTACTGATCCCAAATCAATTACAAGTTTCTTTGAAACATCTCTAGAAGAGGTATTTTCTGTTTCATTAACTAAAACCCCCTCCATTTCTGAAGATTCTGAACTATCTGTTGATATTACAGAATTATATTATTGTCTTGATCAATTATTTCTTGAAGAAGATCAATTAAACCAAGAAAGAAAATTGGAGATGAATATAACGAAGAAATTCATGTTGAAGAGAAAGACCCTATGGTTGCCGCTGTAAAAGCAATCAGTGAACTTGCTAAAGCTTTAAATAAAGGTGGAAAAGGTGAAAAGAATCTTATTAAAATTGAAGCTTTTAAAGGTGATGGAAGTCAAGACCCTATTGAATGGCTTGATGAATTTGACCAAGCTGCTAAAGCAAATCATTGGAGCAAAAAAAGACAACTCGAATTGGCCAAAGCCTATATGAAAGGAATTGCCAAAGAATGAGTGAAAAGCAAAAATGACAACCAACTCAGGATGTATTGAGATGCAGAAGCAGAAGATACTAGTTTTAAAACCCTGTTCAAAAAAAGATTTAATACCACCAGACAAAAAGCCAAATGGCAACAACAACTCTTTGAACTCAAACAAGGCAGTAGTACTGTTGATGATTATATTGCCAAGTTTAAACGCCTCAAGGATAGAATTGAAGAATTACCTGAAACTTTTCTAATTCAACAATTTATTAAAGGATTGAGGTCTAAATTTGCTATGCCTGTACAAGCCTCTGCCCCACTATTTTAGCTACCGCTATTGAAACAGCAAGACTCTGGGAAACAAGAAAATTTATAACCACTGACACTGACACTAAAGATGCTATTACCCAACTTACTGACCAAATTGCTAAGTTGAGTATTAATTTAGCCCAACAACAACAACAAGTGCAACAACCCCAAAAACCTTCTTATACTGCTGAAAGAAACCTACACCAAACAAAAATAAAGCTCGATGTTTTTATTGTGAAAACCCTTGTCATTATATTGCTGACTGTTACAAAAAAAAAAGTGATGACCAAAAGAATAGAGAAAATAGAAACTATTATCAAGATCAAAATTCCCAATCTTCACATTATAGGGAACGAGATAATCGAAGTTATAGGAATGATAGAAGTCGAAGTCGAAGTTGAAGCAGAGATAGAAATTACTATTCTCAAAGAAATAGAAGTAGATTCAGAGAAAGAAGTCAAAAAAGATGGGGACCAAAATCAAACCGTTCTCTTTCTCCTTATTACCGAAATGTGAACATGGCTGAAACCAAACCTAAAACTACTCGAACATGAGAAGATTTATTCGACAACTACTCTATTCGAACTGCTCTAACCGCACACATTACTGATTTAAACTGAGAAAATACCCTATCTAAACCATTGAACCATATAACTCCTGTAAAATATCATGTTGATATCCAGGACCAAACTTTACCTGCTATTGTTGACAGTGGAGCTGCTGTTAGCATGATTTCACACCAAACTGTTAAAGATTTAGGACTTAAAATAGAAGAACCATCCACAAGTCTTATTGTCGCTGCTACAGGAACTACATCCAGACCCCTGGGAATTATTCGAAACCTACCTATTCGCATACAAGAAAAGTTGATCTCTCTTGATGTTGAAGTTGTACCTGCTATTTCATATTTGCTTTTACTCGGTAATGATTGGTCCAAGAAAGTTGAGGCCAATTATAATTAGAAAACATACCAGTATACTATTTACTGGAAAGGTAAAAAGATTGTATTGAATACATCTTATGAACAAACCCAACCTACCAAAAAAAAACCTACTTATACTACCTCTGAAGAGTTTACACAGGTTGAAATCAAAAATATCTTCCCTGTATCTTCAAATAATCGGCCTAGGTGATAGAAGGGTGATATTGTG